GTCAGAGGTCAGAGCAGTGCGACCCAGCCTATTTGTGTTTCCGTCGGTGTGTCAGTACCTGTAGTACACCTGAGCTGTGATGTAAGGATGCTGAACAGATGTTTCACCTGCTGAAGCTGCAGCCATGTGTGTGTGTGTGTGTGTGTGTGTGTGTGTGTGTGTGTGTGTGTGTGTGACCACTCCTCACTTTAACCAGGTTCTATTTCAGGGTTAATTACAGGGTGGAGCAGGGCGAGGCTCAGTGATGGAGCTGGGTTGTGTAGCTGCTCCGTCCCGTTTCTCAGCAGATCGTCAAATCTGGCCTCCAGACAGCGGGTAGGCCACAGACTGTAAATAGAAGATGGACAAACCACCGTGGTTGGTTTGTGAACTCTGGTTTAACTTATCAGCCATCACCAGCTGACGCTGACAGAGGCTGCTGTGCTCACACCTGTCAGCGTGGCCACGCCCCCAATAATGCAAATGTAAACATTAACCCTCACACAGGTGTTATGATTGGATAATTTAGCTGAAGAGACCAACACCGGTCCTGTGGTGGACTCCACAGCTCAGTGAAGGCGAGACTGAGGCAGGTCCGGTCCTGGAGTGGTGAGGTGGATGGACCGTGGTCAGACCTGCTGACCTCCTTGTTGTGCGCAGTGCTGACAGGAGGTTCATGTCAACGTGAGAAACGAGCAGCTGATTCGTCTCCTGACGAACGATAACGAGCTGTGGCTCGTAAAACGCTTCCGAGGAAGTGAGGATGGAGTGGAGTGCTGTGGAAGTTTCAGGGTGTTTTTCTGCATTTTCTTGATTTCGCACACATTTCAGTTCTGTGTGCGTTACAGTGCAGATCCTTCACTCAGTGGGAAAACATCGCTGCTTTTGTGTGTTTGACATTTGAGGGCATCACCAGCAGTTTTGAAAGATCATCACAGAGTAAACGATTCATCAGCTCATTCACGAGATGCAGTGTTGCTGTAACAGCTGGCTGCAGCAACACTGTAACAGCTGGAAAACGGTGCAGCAGCAGGTGGAGCGGTGGTTTGGTGCAGCGGCAGCAGGTGATACTGAGACGAGCCCTCACCTGGAGGAGGAGGAGCAGCTCGCACATCTGGAGGGAACTTCTAGTTTATGTTGATCTGAATACAACGCCTCCTGCGTGCCTCCTTTTGGAGGTGTTCTGGGCACCCAAACTAGGAGGAGATCCCAGGGTCGATCCAGAACCTGCTGAGACTTCGAGGCTCTGCTGTCCAGCTGTGCCACCGTGACTGCAGATAAGCAGAGGGTGGATGATGATGGACGGGTGATGGACATATAGTGGATTAATCCGCCGCTGAAAATAGTCCCTATGTGTTCCTCCCATCTAAAACATGTTTGATCAGATCAGTGAGCTGGTGTTTGTGTGCAGACACGAACTCATTTTGAACTTTTCTCCTCTAAAAGTAGAAACCTGGAGCTGAAATAAGTCTCTGAACTTTTTTAGGATCTAAAGAATCAAAAATCTCTGAGTTCTACTTTTAGAAGCTCTGAAGGTTTTTTTTAAACCTGAGCGCCGTCACTGATGTTCTCCCGGCACGTCGCACCACCCCGCCTCAGCTCGTCTTTTATGAGCTCCTGACTCGCTCCGACAGCAGGAAGTCAACGAGAGCAGTGAGGCGGGGACGGAGGGTGGAGGGCGGTTTAACCCGTGATCAGGCCACAGGTCGACCTTTAGCGGTTGTCCTGGAGACGTCGGCTTCACCTCAGAGTTATAGGAGAGTGTTTCCTTTGAAGTAAGTGAGGTGTGTTTTACTGCTGTTGGTGTGGAGACGATGACGCCAGCGACAGGCTGAGGGTTAGTCTGTCCTCAGCTCCCGCAGCGCTGCGTCTCACTCGGTCAGGACAAACTCTGTGATGACGAACATCAAACTGACGGCTGGAGGCGTCCTAACACCAACCTGCACCTCTGTGGAAGTCAGCGCGACTCTTTAATGGTTCCTGTTTACGAGCTGAAGCACAAACTGAAGCTCACCTGAAGGCTCGAGTCCGTCCCCCCACCTGCTGTTCCTCACAGAGGTCTAAAGGTCTTTCCTTACAAACATGTGACTTTATGAATGATTGATGCTCATTTTAGTCCCGCTGACATCAAAGCTCGTACAACAGGGACCTGACCGAGTTAGCAGCTGCACAACAGCACGTTAAAAATGCAGCAAACACAACACGGCACACAAACACCATCATCCCCGCAGCTGCATGTGGTGACTTTAAACTAACAGCTGATTTGGATTGAAGTTAGTTAGTGTTAATAGAGATCGACAGACCACGTGACTTACGCGCATTGCATTGTGGGTACGAGTGGCAGCAAAATCAAAACACTGCATCAAGCGCCTGCATTTCCAGCACCGGTAACCATTCATCCTGCGGTTTTAATCCCTACTTGCATCCCTGCAACATTTTCAGATCTAATAGAAATAAAATGAGTGTTTTTTCTTTATTTCTATCTGGCGCTATGGTTTCATTCTGTCATAGAATCGTAGAGCAAAGAGGCAACACTGAGCACATGTTTGCTGTCTGAGCTTTGTTTCCAGCAGAAACGTGCAGACGGCCCTCTCTGCTCCTGCTGCTGTCGTTCTCCTCACACTCTCCTTCCACTAACACCTGTGTGCAGGTTGCCGTCCGTGGGGGCGGGGTTACCCGCTGTGACTCCCACAGAGCCTCCCGACTGGTCCCTGCAGACACCGACTCCATAAACAAGCTGCCGACACTTGATGATGCAACTGATGCGCGTGTATGTGTGCGTGTGTTTGACTGTTTGATCACCTGATGAAGGACCCTGGCTTCAGTCTAAGGGACCAATCAGCTGCCAGAAGATAAAATGATGTCACGCCCGTTCATTAACACAGGCCCGTGTACCTGTCTGTGCCTGTGGCAGCTCCATGGACGGCCGTTTCTTCTTACTGTTAGAACGACAGATTATAGATGCTGCACTCATTGCCATGTTGTTAGCCAATGAGATCATTGTTTCCACACTCAGCTCCGCCCCTCTTCAAGTCCCGTTTGAAAATCACCAAGATGGCAGCGTTGAAGACGCTGAGGCTTCGGGCAGGACCCAGATCTGACTGCTAGTTCCTGTTAGCGTACGCTTGTTCTGAGTTCACGTCTTAAAGAGTGGACCAATGATGTGGCTCCACTCAGCGTGAGACCAGTAAAGGAAGAAAAACCAGTAAACTATGATGGAGCTGCTGCTGAACTCAGAGAGACTGCAGAGTTTACTGCAACGTGACTCTGGCTCTCAGACAGTC